CCACCCAAAAAACCCAGCGCGCCCTGCTGCCCAGCGTGCTGCTGCTGCACACGCTGCTAATGCTGCGCTGTGCCCTGCTGAGCAGCGCTGCCCAGGCCGAGCTGCGCCGCCCAGCCCGAGCCGCCCTCCTGCTAATAAAGCTGCTGCTGTTGCTGCTCGTGCTACTGCTGCTGCTGGTGGAGGTGCTGCTGGGAGTGCTGGAGGAGCCGCCGCCTAGCCCCACCGAGCCGCCCTGCTGCTACTGCTCGTGCTACTGCCGCTGCTGGTGGAGGTGCGGCTAGGAGTACTGGAGGTGCTACTGGTGCTGGAGGTGCTGGACCTACTACTGACCTTCACTGCCTGTCATGGCCACTATCACGGCAGTTACAGCGGCTAGGGGTGGACAGTAGCGGTCACTGCCTCTCCCGGGCGACCCCACCCCTCAGCAGCTTCGTGAGTGGGTTATTCAACGAGGTAGTCCTGATGGTGGAGGTTTTGGTTTTATGTGGCCTCAGCGACCTTGGGACTGTGCTTCTCAGCAATGTATCCCTGGTCGTGTAGAGGCTGCTGCTCTCGGTTCTAGTGAGTCTGCTGTCGCTCCAGGTGCTGGTGAGTCTGCTGCAGCTCTAGGTGCTCGTGAGTCCGCCGATGATATAGGTGCTAGTGCGTCTACTGCCACTGGTCCTGCCTCAACTGAGGCCTTGCACACTTTCACGCTTGACTTAGGCGCGTCACGTCGCTTCTTTCGTGATTGCACCATAGTCACACCACTCGCAGCACCTGTCCCAGTGTCACTAGCTGACCCCACTGGGGGCCCAGTAGTTGCGCAAGCCTCCACTGTCCTCCCATGTCCGGCAGTCCCCTCCAGGTCTCTCTCAGGTCTCCACCTCCCCGCGTTCTCGACGAACTTGTTGAGCAACGCAGTTCTCCAGGATAAATGGGTTGACACCTTCATTCCTGGAGGACAGCGTGTGGCGATCTGTAAGTGCTTACACGCTGGCCGTCACCTTGCTACGTTCACTCGTCAGCCTGGGTCCGGTCTGTACACCCTGACCACTGCGTCTGCACAGATGGCTGAGTCAGGTAAGGTGGCTGCATCGAGTCGGGTGTCTGCGTCTGGTCAGCTTGCAGCGTCTTGCTCGTGTCGGGTACTCTCTCACCAGACTCTCCTCTGGCACCACCGCCTAGGTCACCCTTCGCTGCCGCGTCTCCGCAACATGCACTCCCATCTCCTTGTCTCTGGCCTTCCCAGGTCCCTGCCCTCCCTCCCGCGCTCGTCTTCCCCGCCGTGCCTTCCTTGCATCGAGGGGTGGCAGCGCGCCGCTCCTCACTCCTCCGAGTTTCCTCCGACCACCGCTCCTCTGCAGACTCTCCACATGGACGTTTGGGGCCTGGCCTCCATCGGTGGGACGGACCAGGAGCGCTACTACCTGCTGGTTGTTGACGACTACACACGCTACACCACTGTCTTCCCCTTGCAGCGCAAGGTGGACATCAGCGGTGTTTTGATCCCCTGGATGCGTGCTACTCATCGCCAGCTGCGCGAGCAGTTTCGTCGGGATTCCCAGTCCTGCGTCTGCAGTCTGATAGGGGCGGTGAGTTCTCTTCTGACCTCCTTGCGGAGTTCTGTCGAGACGAGGGCATCTTGCCAGTCGTTCACGCTTCTGGCCTCTCCTCAGAAAAATGGGATTGCTGAGCATCACATTGGCTTGATCATGGAGGTTGCTCGTACCTCCATGATCTATGCGGCTGCTCCCCATTTTTTATGGCCGTTTGCGGTCCGAAACGCAGCGCATCAGCTCAACCTCTGGCCTCGTGTCTCTGAGCCAGAGACCTCGCCCACACTCCGGTGGACGGGGAAGGTTGGCGATGCGTCGGCGTTTCGGGTCTGGGGCGCGCTCTCCCTTGTTCGCGATGCCAAAGTGAGCAAGCTCTCATCTTGCATTCTCCGCTGCGTCTTCCTTGCCTTCCCAACCGACGCCCCGCCGTGGCAGTTCTACCACCCGTGCGAGCGTCGAGTCTTCTCCTCCCAGGACGTCACCTTTAGCGAGTCTGTCTGTTTCTACAGGCTACACCCGCACGCGTCCCACCCAATCCCCCTAGCGCCTCTTTTCTTGGTACCAGTCCCACCCCTGGTAGACCCCCTCCCCCCACAGGGCCCTGCTCCCTCAGGTGCGTCTTAGGTAGACCCACCCCCCTTAGTTGAGCCTTTGGAGATCTCTTCTGACTCCTCTGGCCTAGCTGAGGGGGGTGACCCCGCCGTTGACGACACGGCGGCCACTCGCTGCTCTCCACGCTTAGAGACCCCCCCTGGTTTTCCGCCTCGGCCGTCTTCGTCACCTCCGCAGCCTGCTGTTGTGGACTCTGGAGCTGAGACTGTTGGTGCTGAGCCTTGGGGTGCTGAGACAGAGGGTGAGGGTTCTGGGGGTGCTGCGACTGGGGGTGCTGGTTCTTGGGGTGCTGCGACTGGGGGTGCTGACTCTGGGGGTGTTGCGAATCCTAGTGGCGGTGGAGCTGTGGGTGACCCTGCTGGAGGTCCTGGAGCTGGACAGCCACCGCAGCCTTGATCTACTGGAGACGCTCTCGCTGCAGGCGATTCGTGCGTGGATCGTTCGGCGAGGCAGTCCTGTTGGTGGAGGGTACGGTTCTGCTGGTGCTGGAGCTGCTAGTCCTGGAGGTACTGCTGGTGCTGGAGGTACTGGAGGTACTACCGGAGGTGCTGGAGGTGCTGCCAGTGCTGGAGGTACTAGAGGTGCTGGAGGTGTCGGAGCTACTAGTCCTAGAGGTGCTACTGGTGCTGGAGGTGCTGGACCTTCTAGTACTGCAGGTACAGCTGGTGCTGGAGGTGCTGGAGGTGCTGCTGGAGCTGAACTCTGCATTTCCCCTTTTCTCTGACCTTCCCCATTTCCCCTTCCCGTACCAGCCCAAGTCCCCTTGTACTTGTGACTCCCCATTTCCCCTACCCCCTGTCCCTCCCCATTTCCCCTTTTCCCTGTCTGTCACTCCCCATTCCCCCTTCCCTCTGTCTCTCTTCATTTCACCCTCCCAAAGAACCAACCGAATTTCCTCTTCCCATTTCCATTCCCCAACTACCCACCCGCCCTCCTCCGTCCCCCCCCTTCCCCTCAGCTGCTTCAAACCCTGCTGAAAGGCCATCTCTCCCGCCCTTCTCTCATTGACTCAACCAACACAACTCTGTCGTGCCTCGCACTCACCACCAGCATAGCACTCCACCCTGTTTCACAGTCCCCCTTCTCACACTTTTGCCAGGCGGGGGCCAACATGTCTGGCATAGAGAGAGAGGATGGTGACGAGGGTACTGGAGGTGTTGCCACGGTGCAGGCTGTTGAAGCCATGGTGACAGAGACGTCCGAGGCGTTGCACAAAACGTTGGTTAAAAGAAATCTCACTCTCGGCTGTCACTTGACTACACCATGGGCCATCCTACGCTGTGGATTGGCAAGCCTCATGGGAGGTGGCTTGGTGCCACGGGATAGTGATATGGTATTGTTGTTCATCGAAGCTGCCCCCGCTCTTGTTGACTACTTACTTGACGCAGCCTCTGCTGCAGGTATTTATCTGATTCTACCATGTTTTTCGCTGCCCATCCTCATGAGTTTTAGGCTCAGCCTTTTCCCATCATAATGCCTTGCATGCGCATCCCATCTCTGTATACTGCTGCCCGCATCCTGCTACCTGCGTCCTAAAAGGAGAAAAAAAGAGACGATAGTGGGAGATAAAAATAGTATTACACGTCATCCCCCGCCTATCATAATCACTATCTCTTTTAGCGTTGGGGTGACATGAGGGTATAGGGCGGGAGGGGGGAGCGGGGATATGGGATGAAGGGGAAGGGGGAGGGGGGAAGGTGGAAGAACAGGGGAGGTTGGATGTGAGATGAATGGGGTGAGATGAATGGGGTGAGATGAATGGGGTGAGATGAATGGGGTGAGATGAATGGGGCGAGATGAATGGGGTGAGATGAATGGGGCAATCGCACACTGAACTCAAGCCCGTCACCCTCTTAGAGATATTGATTTTCCCACTGTATTTCCCCGAACCACTCTACAACACCCTTTACCACTCTGCACCACCCTGCCCCACTCACCATGAGGCTCTCCTAATGTTTCTCGCCGAACCCAAGCTCCTCAACTGGCGCTGCTATTATGAACCCCAGCACCAGCATCCCACCCACCGCACCTGCAGGGCCGTCTCGAGGGCACTCCCTGTGCTGCCCATTCTCCCCCCCACCCCCATCCCAAACCACCACCCACAGCACCGCTCCCATCCCATCATCCCATCTCTCCTTCCACTCCCCCCTGTACCTCACTATCTTCCTCCTCCTCTGTCCTTCCCCCTTGCTCTCACTGCCCTCTCCTTATTCCCTAGCAGTGCAGCACACACGCTCTGAGTGTGCCAGTTCCAGGACTGCGAGCAGACCCCGCCCCGCCCCCCGCACAGCCGGCGACTTGACCTGTAGCGAAGCGAGTAGAGCCGAGAGTCGGCGCCTGGGGGAGGTGGCGACTAAATGCTGGAGAGAGTGAGTGGTGGTGGAAGGGGTGGTGGTGGAGGAGGTGGCAACTGAGATGGGTGCAAGCTTGGGGGCGTCTGAGGGCGCAAAGAGAGGCTCCTTTGGAGGAGGAGGGGCAGTGCCAGTGCCAGCAGCAGCAGCAGCGGCGGCAGCAGAGCGATAGAAAGGGGATCAAGGGGAGAATGACGCTGCTATGTGATCGCTGAGGGAGACGGAGAGAGAGAGGGAGAACTTGCCAAGGAAGGTCAATAGGCAGGCAAGTGTGTGACTCGGCCCTGTACCAGTGTGTGACTCAATTCTGTACCAGTGTGTGACTCGATCATGTACCAGTGTGTGACTCAATTCTGTACCAGTGTGTGACTCCATTCTGTACCAGTGTGTGACTCAATTTTGTACCAGTGTGTGACTCGATCCATCACCAGAGTGTGACTTGTACCAGTTTGAGCAGCAGAGGGTCGAAGTGGCTCCAGTTCTCTGGGGTGAGCATAGCCTAGTGGGTCTTCACGAAGGACGCCCACACCAGCTCCTCCACCTCCCCCACCCCCACTGCGCCTCTCCCCGCCCTCACCACCCCATCAGATAACACCTCCACCAGACATAACACCTGCCCCTGCTCTTCCACTCGCGGCCCTCTTGCCTCTCCCTTCTTTTGTGTTTCCACATCAGCCCCCTCCTTTGCACCCCCCCGCCCCTCTCCCCCCCTCTCCCTCCCATGTGTCTGGTTCACACTGGAAAGAGTGAGGCGGAGAGGGTAATGGGGACGGGGGCGGGGAGGGGGGGAGGGGACGAGAGGAAGGGGAGGAGGGTGTGGGGTGCGGGAGTTGCTGAACAAGGGGAGATGATGGGGCAGCAGGCGGGTGGTGTGGTGCGGAGGTGGCGAGTAATGTGGGGTGGGGAGAAGGAGAGGGGGAGAAAGAGAGGTGAGGGTAGACATGTGGAGAGAGGTGCGGGAAGAGAGGTGTGGGGAGAGAGGTGCGGAGAGAGAGGTGCGAGGAGAGAGGTGCGGGGAGAGAGGTGCGGGGAGAGACGGAGAGAGGTGCGAGAGAAAGAAGCGGGACTAGTAGAGCTGTGGAAGAATTGGGGGGGAAGACGTGAGGGCCAACATGTGGGGGTACAAGTGGGGGGTGCAAAGGGGGGACGAGGTGCGGGGAGGCGCGTGAGGCTGCGCTCACCAAATCCGCATGTACCAGGCGTGCCACCACCCCCCAGCTCGCCTGACACACCGCGCTTGCCGACTCCGCCGCGTGCGCTCACAGGGGGAACACCCCGGAGCGCAACTTGCGCTGCTCGCGCGCCGACAGCGCCTCGTACACCGCCCACATTCCCCTCTCCGTCGCAAGGGGATACGGGGCTGGCGCGGGTGAACCCTGGAAAACCAGATGGCGTGGAGTATCAGAATCCCTGTGCAAGAATGAATGAACTATGAATGAGTTGGGTACAAGTACTAACCCTAAAGTGTTGTACCCCTTGTAGGCTAACCCACTATAGCCTAGAGAGAACACAAACATACAGTTTGACACACCCCCATAGGCTAAGTGGGAGATAGCAAACACAACAGACAGTCACAAGACCAGTCAAGCACGAGAACAAAGCAAAGCAAAGCTCAGGGTGGATCTCAAGGACACCACACAATATGAGCACAAGCAAGCGGCCACAAGGCCAGCTCACATGCAGGGTTATAATAGCAAGGCAGTACACTGATCACAACCTAGAAAGAGTAAACAAGCAGGTATAAAGATATATATCAGTGTACAACAAGAGCAAGTCAAGCAACCAGCAGGTGAGGCAGAGTGGGCACAAGCCCAAGAGTAGTGCAGAAACGCTGATGATCACCAGACCCAAGGGCCTTGGTGAACACATCAGCAGTGTTGACCCGCGAGGCCACGTAGGAAAAGCGGAGCTGACGACGCTGCTGCAGCTCACGCGCAAGAATGTAGCAAAGAGCAATGTGCTTCGTTCTGTGCTCCAGTCTTTGCTCGTGACACAAGGCAAGCATTGCCTTGTTGTCGACGTACAGAACTGGAGGAGAACGAGGCCGCTCCCCCAAGTCGGTCAGCAGGTAGGTCAGCCAGCGTAGCTCCTGTGCAGCCATGGCCCCAGCGTAGATCTCGGCCTCACAGCTGGAACCAAGCACAAAAGAAGGAGTGGACCTCCACGAGACAGAACCAGAGCCAAGACTGAAGGTGTAACCCTGTGACGAACGCTGAGTCGCCTGGTCATCGGCCCAAGAAGCGTCGGAGTGTCCTGTGAGTACCATTGAACCCTGTCCTCCAAGCACGAGCCCTATGCCCGATGTACTGCACAAGTAACGCAGTACCCTCTTCGCAACATCCCAGTGCACCTTTCAGTGTCTGCCGAGAGCCACATAGCGAGCCAGGAGGCTGAGAGGGTACGCAAGGTCAGGTCCTGTGCACGTCATCAGGTACATGAGGCAACCCACAAGCTCTGGGTACGGACCACTCGGCTCTACGGACTCGTCCGAAGGTGGAGCTCAGAGCGAGTGGCCGGTAGACAGAGGAGTGGGCTGTGGCGAGGAGAACTGGAAGCCGAAGCGCTAAAGGACCTGGTGAACCATGTGTGACTGAGTCAAAGTGATGGTGCGCCGTGCTCTGTCCCGGGTTATCTGCAAGCCAAGATAGCTACGCAGCTCACCCATGTCAGTGCAGGTGTGTCTCTCCTGCAGCTCCGCCTTCACTAGGGCCAGCGCCTCAGTGTCAGCAGTAGCAAAAACCAAGTCGTCGACGTACACGAGAACGTAGAACGACGGCAGGGTAGTGTCGGTGCGTAGAAACAGCGACGGGTCAGCAGAGGAAGGAGCAAACCTAAGAGCCGCAAGTGTAGTCCTCGGTGTGTCGTTCCACTCGCGGGGCGCCTGGCGGAGACCGTAGAGTGGCCGCCGGAGGCTCCACTAGGTACCGCAGGAAACGACACATTGAAGCCAGGTGGGCGGCGCAGCCAGATCTCCTCGTGAAGGATGCCCTACAAGAAAGCTGTGGAGAAGCCGAGGGAGTGCAACTCGTAGTCACGCTGTGTTGCAACGTCCAGCAGCACCTGAAGAGTAGTCATCTTCGGGGTGGGGGAGAAGGTGTGGAAGAAGTCGACCCCCTGTCGCTGACTGAAGCCTCGAGCAACGTAACGCGCCTTGAAGGCAGGCGGAGAACCCGGCGGCCGCTTCACCATGAAAATCCACATGCCATCGACTATGTCCGCCTCAGGAGGAGGAACCTCGTCGACGTAGGTGCCTGTGGACTTCCAGGAAGCCATCTCTGCATCCATGGTTGTTTGCCACTAAGAGGAGTACTCACCCGCGATCGCCTCAGCGTAAGAGCGCAGGGTAGGGATGTCAAGTGCTAAGGGCAGGCTCACCCTCGACGGACGGAGGACAAACAGACTCAGACTCAGTAAAAAGACTTGCGACGTAGTCGAGTCGACTCCTAGCTGCAAAGTCGACTAGCTCAGTGACTAGGGAAAACGCTGCAGTAGACTCAAGGTCAGGGTCAGTGACGACAGTAGCAAGGAGATGAGTGAAAGTAGGACTAGCAACACGAGCAAGGTCGGACTCTGGGTCAGGAACGTGCGGAAGAGAGGACGCGGGAGGCTCAGGCAGGACAACACGCTGTGGAACAGAGGAAGGACGAAGTGCCATACCATGAGTGCCCGGGACAGCAGGAGGACGAGGACGGGCAACACGACGAGCACGAACAGGTGTGGAAGCACAAGTCTCAAGCATCAGCACCTCCAGCACCTCCAGTACCTCCAGTACCTCCAGCTCCAGCGCCTCCAGCACTAGCAGTACCTCCAGCACCTCCAGTACCAGCAGCTCCAGTAGCACCTCCAGCACCTCCAGCACCAGCAGCACCACCTGCTCCGGCAGCTCCAGCACCTCTAGTACGAGCACCTCCAGGACCAGCAGCTCCAGCACCTCTAGTACCTCCAGTACCTCCAGCTCTGGCGCCTCCAGCACCAGTAGTACCACCTGCTCCGGCAGCTCCAGCACCTCTAGTACGAGCTCCTCCAGGAACAGCAACTCCAGCACCTTCAGTGCCTCCAGTACCTCCAGCTCCAGCGCCTCCAGCACCAGCAGTACCTCCAGCACCTCATGAGCCAGCAGCTCTAGTAGCACCTCCAGCACCAGCAGCACGACCTGCTCCAGCAGCTCCAGCACCTCCAGTACCTCCAGCTGCAGCGCCTCCAGCACCAGCAGTACCTCCAGCACCTCCACTGGCAGCAGCTCCAGTAGCACCTCCATCACTAACAGCACCACCAGCTCCGGCAGCTCCAGCACCTCCAGTACGAGCACCTCAAGGACCAGCAGCTCCACCACCTCCAGTACCTCCAGCTCCAGCGCCTCCAGCACTAGTAACACCTCCAGCACCTCCAGCACTAGCTGTACCTCCACGACTAGTAGGTCCAGCACCTCCAGCACCAGCAGCACCTCTAGTACCTCCAGCACCTCTAGTAGTACCTCAAGTACCTCCAGCACCAGCAGTACCTGCAGAGTCAGCACCCCCAGTCGCAGCACCCCAAGAACCAGCACCCCCAGTCGCAGCACCCCCAGAACCCGCACCCTCTATCTCAGCAGCACGCTGCGGAGGCGGCGAAGATGGCCGAGGCGGAAAACCAGGGGGGGTCTCCAAGCAAGGAGAGCGGCGAGTGGCCGTCGTGTCGTCAGCGGCGGGGTCACCCCCCACAGCTAGGCCAGAGGAGTCAGAAGACAACTCCAAAGGCTCAACCAAGGGGGGTTGGTCTACATGAGACTCACCTGAGGGAGCAAGACCCTTTGGGGGGAGGGGGTCTACCGGAGGGGGGACTGGTACCAAGAAAAGAGGCGCTAGGGGGATTGGGTGGGATGCGTGTGGGTGTAGCCTGTAGAAACAAAAAGACTCGTCAAAGGTAACGTCCTGGGAGGAGAAGACTCGACACTCGCGCGGGTAGTAGAACTGCCACTGCGGGGCGTGGGAGGGGAAGCCAAGGAAGACGCAGCGGAGAGTGCGAGAGGAGAGCTTGCTCGCTTTGGCATTGCAAACAAGGGAGAGTGCGCCCCAGACCCGAAACACCGACGCATCGTCAACCTTCCCCGTCCACCGGAGTATGGGCGAGGTCTCTGGCTCAGAGACACGGGGCCAGAGGTTGAGCTGATGCGCTGCGTATCGGACCGCAAACGGCCATAGAAAATGGGGAGCAGCCGCATGGATCATGGAGGTACGAGCAACCTCCATGATCAAGCCAATGCGACGCTCAGCAATCCCATATTTCTGAGGAGAGGCCGGAAGCCTGAACGACTGGCAAATGCCCTCGTCTCGACAGAACTCCGCAGGGAGGTCGGAAGAGAACTCACCGCCCCTGTCACAGTGCAGACGCAGGACTGGAAAGTCCCGACTAAACCGCTAGCGCAGCTGGAAACGAGTAGCACGGATCCAGGGGATCAAAACACCGCTGACGTCTGCCTTTCGCCGCAAGGGGGAGACAGTGGTGTAACGTGTGTATTCGTCAACAACCAGCAGGAAGTCGCTATTAGATAGTAGCGAGAATGACGAGAGAATGGTTTACTAGGAAGGAAGGAGGGGTACAACTACAATGTCGAGAAAAATTGTGTACACCCTAAGGCTAAACCCACTATAGCCTAGACAATTGTAAACACATAAGCACATATGTTTGACACACCCCCATAGGCAAAGTGGGGGATAGCCAGAGCAAGCAATGGTCACAAGACCAGTCAAGAGAAGAAGCAAAGCAAAGCAAAGCTCAGGGTGGATCACAAAGTCACCACACAGTACGAGCACAAGCAAAGGGCCACAAGGCCAGTTCACATGCAGAGTTATATAAAGAGAACAAACAATACAGTGATCATACCCTAGCAAGTGCAAGCATGCAGGTATATAGATAGATCACAGTACAGGCAGAGTCAGGCAGTAAGTAAGTGAGGCAAAGTAGGCACAAGGCCTAACACAGTAGAGAAGCGCTGATGATCACCAGGCGGAAGTGACTTGGTGAATGTATGGGAAGAATTGGCCCTAGTGGCCACGTACGCAAGACAAAGCTGGCCACGCTGCTTCAACTCTCGAGCAAGGAAGTATCGCACAGCGATGTGCTTCATTCTGTGCTCCAGTCTGTGCTCCTGACACAAGGCCATCATGGCCTTGTTGTCTACGTACAGGACTGGAGGCGAACGAGGCTGCTCTCCCAAGTCGGTCAGCAAGTAGGTGAGCCAGCGTAGCTCCTGAGCAACCATGGCTCCGGCGTAGATCTCAGCCTCACAGCTGGAGCTGAGAACTGAGGACGAGCGGGTAGACCGCCAAGAAACCGAGCCGGACCCAAGGCT